GTGGAAGGTGACCCTGGAGAGGCAGGGAGGGACTCAATCACAAAGGACCTCTATAGGTCTTTTCCTCTGGCTACTAGAACAAGCGTTGGTGGCTTCAAACAGCAGAAATGTGTTGTCTCACTATTCTGGGGGCTGGAAGGCCAAAACTCAGATGTCAAGGGGCCACTCCCTTGGCCAGCTCCAGGGTAGGGTCTCTCCCTGCCTCTCATAGCTCCAGCTGCCTCCTGCCTGTCCTTGACAACCATTGGCTTGTAGACACATGACTCCAGTCTCTGCTTCTGTTGTCACGTGGCTGTTTTCACATTGTCTTCCCTGTGTGCCCATCCACCTCTGTGTCCATGTTTTCCCTTTTTATAAGAACATTAGTCATATTGGATTAGGGCCTATCCTAATGACCTCCCCTTAGCTTGCTCTGCATAGACTATCTCCAAATAAGGTCATGGTCACAGGTGCTAAAGATTAAGACTTTGGGGAGCCTGGGTAGCTCCGTCAGTTAAGCATCCAGCTCTTGATTCCAACTCAGATCATGATCTCACGGTTGTGGAATGGAGCCCTGTGTCTGGGTCCCCACTGAGCGGGGAGTCTGATCGAGATTCTCTCTCTCTCCTTCTCCCTCTGCCCCTCTCCCACCTCAAAAATAAATCAATAAACCTTAAAAAAAAAAAAGGTGAGGACTTCAACATGTCTTTTTAAGTGATACAACTCAACCTATAGCAGCCTTGGCTGCTGGTCAAGGATGTTCATTCATTATCTGTTGTATTCACCTAGACAGTGAGCTGTAAGCAAAGGACAGCACTTCCTGTGCTCTGGAGTGGGGTTGGAGGGGGAAGGGGGCAGGGCTAGGAGAGACGTGGGAGCCTGAGGAGGGGGCGAGGAGGCACTGCTGGCACCCTCCCAGCCTGGCCCCTCTGTCCCCGAGGGCCCTCACACCCCAGGCTGGATGCCCCAACCCAGGGGCACAGGCTTCATTTCTTGGTTTAAGCAGGGTGAGATACCTGTGACAAATAGAAAGCATTTCTCAATCAAGAAATCTCAGAGTTTCCAGGGAGTTGGCCATTGGTTTATAAGTGGTTGTTTTCCCCCTCGCTTTTTTTTTTTTTTAAGATGTTAGTTATTCATGAGAGACACACAGAGAGAGGCAGAGACACAGGCAGAGGGAGAAGCAGGCTCCCTGCAGGGAGCCCGACCTGGTCTCCAGGATCGTGCCCCAGGCTGAAGGAGGCACTAAACTGCTGAGCCAGGATCCCTGGGTGGCTGGGCGGTTTGGTGCCTGCCTTTGGCCCAGGGCACGATCCTGGAGTCCTGAGATCGAGTCCCGCGTCGGGCTCCCGGCATGGAGCCTGCTTCTCCCTCTGCCCGTGTCTCTGCCTCTCTCTCTCTCTCTCTCTCTCTATGTCTAATAAATAAAAAAATCTAATTCTTTAAAAACAAAAACCAAACAAACAAAAAAAAAAACTGCTGAGCCACCTGGGCTGCCCTCCTCTTTGCTTTTTATCATGAAAATTTTCACACTTGAGAAAAGTGGAGAGAATGGTAACCCCCCCCCCCCCGCCCCATGTACCAGTCACTGGTCTGCTCTTCCCTAACTTGTTTGTATCCCCCTTGGTAGGCAAGTTATGGTGCAAAAGGCAGTTTTGTCATTTGTAGACGGTGACTTTGGGCCTATTGCAGAATGTCCCTAAGTCTTAGTTTTCACTGATGACATTGAAATGACACCCAGTGACCACTCAAGAAGCACATGCATGTGGAGTGTGGCACACAGCACAGGGCACACAGTCAGCTGCTAGGGGATGGCAGCTGTGCCTTCGAGAATGTGTCCTGGAAGCCTAGGCTCCCCACCCTGACCCACAGCTGCTCCTTTGCAAAGCCTCTGGCCTAATGAGGCAGCCTGAGCAGCACAGCAGGGCCGCTGCTTCCAGGCACCCCACCTCTCAGGACACCTTAGAGGGCACCCTTTTATCAGCATTTCCTCCCTGAAGTTATGTGTGTTGTTATTTTATTACCTTTTTTTTTTTTGAGAGAGAAATCCTGTGCAAGAGAGGGAGCAGGGGGAGGAGGGACAGAGGGAGAGAGAGAATCTCAAGCAGACTCCTTGCTGAGTGTGGAGCCCAGTGTGGGGCTCAGTCCCTCAACCCTGAGATCATGACATGAGACGAAACCAAGAGTTGGACACCAATGGGCTGAGCCACCCAGGTGCCTGTTAGATGCATTTTTATATTAGCAGAAAGTAAATAGTGCTTTTTAAGGAAGCCTCTGGTAAGAAACAACTGAGGGAATAGAGGAGAAAATTACCATGGAAATAAACAGTGAACCAGACCCAGCCACAGAGCAGCGCTTCCCAAACTTCAGTGAACAGACTGTGGTTGTGCGCAGTGCACCTGGGCCTCTGCATCACTGACGGGCAACACGGGGGTGCGGTGGGACCTAAGGGCCAAACCTGTCCCTCTGCCTGTCTTTGTATGTCCTGTGAGTTAAGAATGAGTTTTACATTTTTGAATGGCCAAAAGAATGTTTGTAACCCATTAAAAAGCCATGAAATTCAAATTTCAGTGTCCACCAAGTTTAACTGGGGCACAGACACTCTGTATTTTTAAAAATTTATTTTTAAATTTTATTTAAATTCAAGTAATTAATGTGTAGTGTCTTATATTAGTGTCAGGGGTAGACTTCAGTGATTCATCAGTTGCACATCACACCGCGTGCCCTTCTTCATGCCCATCCCGCCCCCCCCCCCCCGGCCTCGTCCCCTCCAACAACCCTAATATTGTGTACGCCTGCTGTCCCAGGGGCAGAGGAAGAGACTGCAGAGAGCCTAGAATGCTTCTTGGTCTTTACTGGGAGAGGTTGCAGAGCCCAGTGTGGCCGGCCAGGCCCGATGCAGCCAGCAGGGGGCAGCAGAGAGCCGTCTGTGGCCAGGCCTGCCCGGGGCCCTGGGGTGAGGGGTATTTGGCAATGGGGTGTAGGGGACTAGGCTTAAGTCCAGGACGGAGACAGGGGTCTCAGGTAGAAATGCCCAGGCAGTGGGCACCAGGAGATGAGAGGGGGGTAAGTGGGAGTAAGTAGACGATGTCTGGGGAGGGGCTGTGAGAAGAGGAGCTGCTGGAGTCTGCAGGGAGGGAAGCCAGCAGGAGAGCTGGGCCCACAGGGGTTGTGGAGGTCCAGGGACGCTGTGTGGGGCTTGGACTTTGGGCAGTGACAGTGGGGAGTCACTGAAGGGCTTTAGGCAGTAGATCCATAGCATCGATGGGGGTGGGAGGGGTTGTAGCTGGTGGCTGTGCCTTGGGGACACTGGCACCACAACCCAGGGACAGATGATGAGGGTCTGCAGAAGGCAGGCAGTGGGAAGGGAGCCAGCCGCCACAGTGAGCGAGCCGGCCAACCCACAACAGGGCTCGGAACTCCCCATCCCTTTGGTGTTCTGTGTTTTCACCCGGGACACCGTGGATAAACAGTGTCACTAATTTTTCTTTTTCTTTGCCTTGTTTTGCTCTGCTTTCATGACAACCACCCGGCCGCGATGCAGTTAGGGTGGTTCTCTTTTTCTTCTGGCCTGGATGTTTTCTTCCCAGTGGCTCCTGTGGATGTGGGCTCTCATCCACTACCAGCTGATTCTACTGGGGCAGCTCTCGGCCTTTGGGGCGACCTCTCTGATCTGCCTTAGACAAGCATTTCTTCATGGGGGAGGGCTCACAGGCTCCTTTGAGAATCTGGTGAACACCATCATGAACCCCCTCCCCACCGCAAGGCACACAGACCGGTAGACTCAGACTTTGACTTACGAGTTCAGAGCTCAAGCACTCCCTGAGGCCAGTTCCAGTTAAGAACCCCCGCCCTGGGGCCTGCACCACTTAGGGATCAGCTGGGGGTCAGCTCCTCCTGGTTTTAAGATTTGGGCCTTGATGTCAAAGATCCTTGCCTTCCCCCTTCCGAAGCCCTCCCCTACTCTTCTTCCTGACTTATGGAGATACAAATGTATATGTAAGTTTTTCTTTGGAATGGATTAAAACCTTCAAAGCCACAACACGGGAGCTAGAGGGACCTCTTAGGATGGCAGGTCTGGTGGTTCTCAGCCGTGTGTTGGGCAGTGTGGAGCCCGGTGGGAGACTCCCCTGGGCAAGACAGTCCGCCTTCCAGCTTGGCTGAAGAACCTCTTCCTAAGCGCTGGGCCAGGAAACATTGTGTTCACAGGACTATGGACATGTAGAGTTCTATTTTGGGGCTCTTAGTACATCATAAAATCCCCTTTCCTTGAAACAAAAAGAGTACTATATGAGACATAGTCTTCTTTAGGAAATTATTAGCCTCTATAACTAGAAATAAGTAGATTACATTCTTTAACAGATTAATTTAATCTCCATAACAAGGACTGTTCAAAGGAATATAGTCATTCAATTATTAAATGTTTCCAAAGGACAGATGGAAGCTTGGAAGCTTCGACTACTTTTCAAATTTTCCAGATTTAGAAAATCTAGCCCAACGTCAACTTCTAATAAAAGGAGTCATTCCCAGAATTTATGGTCTCTCCGCCTGTGTGTATGCAGGCATTTTTAACAGCCGCTTTCGTGGGACGTAGTTTATAGAACATAAACTTTATCCATTCTTTAAGTATATAATTTAATTATTTTTAGCAAATTTGCAGAGTTGTGTGACCACCATCACAATCGAACTTCAGAGCATTTTGATCACCTCAAAATGGTCTTTTACTTTTTAACTGCAAGAAGTGATGTTAGATGCTGAATCGCTGAGCCACTCAGGTGGGTGCGATCCTGGAGTCCTGGGGTCGAGTCCCACGTGGGGCTCCCTGCATGGATCCTGCTTCTCCCTCTGCCTGTGCCTCTGCTGCTCTGTGTCTCTCATGAATAAATAAATAAAATCTTAAAAGAAGAAGAAGAAGAAATGACATTAGAAAAAGCTGCTAATTTTAATTGATTGCTTCCTGTGTTTGCACCACCAAGGTTGTCTTCTTACTAATGAATGACCTTTACTGGTATCTCTTCCAGGCAAACACGGGACAGCCGGAGCAAAGCTCTTGCAATCTTATCAGGAGCTGAGGTGAGTGCTGTACTAGGGCAGACTGTCCTGGTCCCTCCAGGGCTGAAGAACAAAAGACCCTGAAAGAACTTTTAGATCTCTTGACTTTCAGACGTGGCTGCTTTGGAATGTGACTTTTTTTTTTTTTAATGATAAAGTGCCTGGAAAAGATTGAAACAGAAATATTTCCAGATTCTTAGGAAGAGCCTTTTTTGGGAGCTAGCAGAGCATTTTCTCACTAAAGGTTTTACTTCTTAAATTCTCCTGAAATGTGGTTAAGAAAATGAGATATTATTTTTTATGGCATTTTAAGTGAAATTCTAAACCAAGCATTTGCTTTGAAGAGTCATTCATATCTCCAACATCATGCCCGGTGCCTGACATCTCAGACATCCGTGGAATAAAATTGGCAGCAGTGAGGAATGGTCTGCAAGATGCTAATTTCTTGATACAAAATCCTAAACACCTAGCGCTCTGGAAGCTGGCAACAATTCACACACCTGATTGCACCAAATATATTAAAGTATTACTGAAAGCTCCCCATCCAGTTCTTTTTTCTTGTCCCAGAATGAGACTTTGCAGTCTTCGGACTCCTCCTCCTCCTCCTCCTCCTCCTCCTCCTCCTCCTCCTCCTTTTCCTCCTCCTTTTCCTCCTCCTCCTCCTTTTCCTCCTCCTCCTCCTCCTTCTCCTTTTCCTCCTCCTCCTCCTTCTCCTTCTTTTCCTCCTCCTTCTCCATCACCAACTGCCACAGGGGACGACGCAAGGAGTCTCAGCTCCAGAGCAGCCAGGCTGCTTTAGACAACACAGGTGGAGCACCAGGGCTAGAGCAGGGGCAGCTCAGTGCTCATTTGCCACATTCTGATACCAGGAATGCCCTGCCCAGAGGAACAGATCCAGGCAGGGCTGCCGGGATCCTCTTCTAAAATGTGAAGAAGTAAGAAACAAAACAAAATAAAAAGGCAGGGATCCCTGGGTGGCACAGCGGTTTAGCGCCTGCCTTTGGACCAGGGTGCGATCCTGGAGACCCGGGATCAAATCCCACATTGGGCTCCCGGTGCATGGAGCCTGCTTCTCCCTCTGCCTGTGTCTCTGCCTCTCTCTCTCTCTCTCTCTCTGTGTGACTATCATAAATAAATTAAAAAAAAAAAGGCAGAGAACTTGAACTATGGGATAATGGCGAATCCTGTGTGTTTGCAAGACTAATGGTTGGATCATTCATAACCCATTTCTTATTCCTGTATTTTTCCTTGGCAGCAAAATTTCTGTGGTTCCTCCCACCCCACCTCCTCTGAGCGAGAGCCAGTGCAGTGGCAGCTCTCACAGGGTAATGTGTCTGTTCTGTGTGCTTCCCTGGGGAAGGGGAAGTGGGAGAGAAGTGGAAGAAGAAGGGGGTCTTAAGGTTGGACAAAGACCTTCAGAGCAAAGGGATCCACCTGTGGCTGAAGCAGGCCATGGAGGGAGCAGAGAATGGAGGCCGGAAGTGCTGGGTCCTGCCTGGTATCTGTGCTTCTGGCATACTTTGGGGGTCATGTGATCATCTGCATTAACAATGACTCACCTCTGCACCCCACTTCCTCTCCTGCACCCCAACATCCCCACTTGCATCCCACATCCTGACCCTACCCCACATCACCACCTGTACCCCACATCTCAACCTGTACCCCATGTCCTCACCTGTATCCCACACCATCTGTACCCCACTTCCCCACTTATACCCCACACCCTCACCTGCACCCCACTTCCCCACCTGCATCCCATATCCTTACCTGTATCCACATCTTCACCTGTATCCCATGTCCTCATCTGTGCCTGCATCCCTATCTGTACCCCATATCTTCACCTGCATCCCACATCCTTGCCATACCCCACATTCCTACCATTTTATTTTTGTCATTTTGTTGGCTGTCTTCCCTATCTGTGCCCTGTGCCCTTGAGTGTGGTGTTCTGAATAGGCTGCAGTGTGTCAGGGGTCTCTGGGGATATAAGAGAAGTAAATACAGGTTGATCCACAGGTGTATGATTCATAGGTGTGGGAGTGCCTGGGGTGTGTATATCTTTTGAGTATTTATAGATTCTAACATAAAATAGACCAGGACCATTTCTGTCCACAGAAATTAGCGGTGTCATCTTAGGGGAGTTATCTGGGTTCCCACTTGGGAGGTAGAAATGATTATACTCCTCTGGCTTGCTTCCCATGGCTGGTGTGAGAAATTAATGAAATAATGTCTGTGCTGGTACTTGGAAACTATAAAGTGCCATGAAAATACATGGTCTTGATTATTTTCATTATCGTTAGTCTGTGAATTAAAGAGAGTAACTATATCTGTACATAGAAGGGCATATTCATATGCTAGTGAGAGAGAGGGTATATTTATTCTTTTTCCAGTTTCAAACTGAGACCCTGGAATGATCTTCAAAATTCTGTTCCACTTTCTCCTTGAGATTCTGAATCCTCCAAAGTTCCAGCATAGATGTGCTCAAGACATATTTCCTGGATGGATGGGTGGAAGGATGGAGGGAAGGAGGCACTGAAGGTGGGAGGAGTGGGAAGAGGGAGGGAGGGATGGAGGGAGGGATGAATAGATGGATGGAGGGATGGATAGAGAGGTGGATGGAGGAAGGATGGATGGATGGATGGATAGGTAAATGGATGGATGGATGAATGGATGGTTGGAGGGATGGAGGAATGGGACTTGAAGGGGAAAGTGACCCCCTTTCTGTCATTTTAGCTTCCTTTTTCTTCTTTCTCCTGCTTAGAGGGGTGGAATGAACTCCTTGGCTCCAGGCTGGTGCCCTGAGCCTGGTACCACCGATGGCCACCATGTCATGTGCCTTCTGCTGTGGTGGATCCTCTCTGTGTGGAGTTGGGGTGGGGTCATGCAAGAGCAGGTTAAAGGAGCAGGAGTCTAGCTGAGTACAGTGTGAGCCAGTGAAATGTTGCTCATTATTCCCGAGGTGATAGTTGTCATGTCAACACCCCCCTGCTGACGCCCCTTCCTTAAACCCAGGTGTCAGACCTCAGAGGAAAGCAGCTGAGTAAGACAGTCCCTACCTCTTGAAAGGACAGTGTCCTCTCCTCTGCAGACATGCATGCACACACACCTGCACACATCCTGAGCCCCCGCACTCCGCTCACACCTGCCCGTGGTTGGGGGTTGGCAGCCTGAAGGCTGCTGGGGCAGACACGCATCTTCAAATATAACTCTCATCCTCTCTCCTCTGTCTCTGTTTTAGTTACAGGAACTTGGTCAGTTTAAAGGATTTAATAAGTCCGTGGAAAATTTGTTTCTGTCTGTTACCACCCACATGAAAAGTAAGTGGATGCCTTTCCATATGTTCTTCCCACCGCCAGCCAGGCCAGCCAAGCCCACGGGCGGGGCCTGGCCCGGGACCTCGGTCTCCAGCTCCTGGGGGGACCACAGCCCCGGCCCTTCACCCCTCCTCCCGCAGAGCAGGCCTCCGGTCTCCTGGGGGAAGAGGAGACCCTCAGCCCCCCATGTAGCCCGACGGTGGCCCGAACCTGCCAGAGCTCAGTGCTACTGGGGAGGAGCTGGCACGGACCTGGTGGCCCATCTGGGCACCCCCACAGCCTCTCCCCAGGACCAAGGAAGACAGTGGGGTGGGTGAAGTCCGGGCGCTTTCCGGCCAGGCAGGGCCCAGAGCCTGTCATTCGCATGGAACCACTTGTCCGTTCTTTTGGCCTTGGTCAATTTATCTTCTTCAATGAGCCGCAATCATGTGATTTGCAGATGCCAGGAACCCAAACCCGTCACTGCTTAGAATCTTGCCTCTTTCAATGTTCTTTCTGCTCGGATATTCTTTCCTGTTTATCTTAAGCTGCAAACCCCAGAGAAGAGCCCCCCCACACACACTCAGGCCTGTGAAGGTGCCTGGAGCAGGCCGGGCACTAGGAGGGATTGGGGGTTATCAGGCATCCACTCCCTTTCTCGGTGCTTCTGATTGGCTTCTACCCACGCTGGTGCATTTGGATGGGCTCAGCGTTGTCCCTTAGCCTTGAGACAGTCTCATTATTGGATTTGAATTAGTCCTCTGTGTTCCACTCGAGCCCTTCCGAGCTGCGTCATGACAACTGAAATCAAAGCATCACTTTTCAGACAAGCAGAAAGGTGACCATCCCACCAGACAGTCTGTCTCGAATTTCGTGCCACTTGCTTGCTAATAGAGCAGGGAGGGTCCAAGTCACCCTGCTAGTCTGCCGGGCGTTCGGACGACGCCTGCCCTCTGTGTGCACCAGCCTGGGACGTGGGTTTCCAACAGTTAACAGCTGCCCGAACTCTGAGCAGCTGGCTCTGTTCCTGTTGCCACTCTTCCTGTCGAAGCTTCTCAGCGTCTCTTTCTAGAAGCACAGCCTTCCCCAAATCCACGCGGCTTATGTGAATTCCCTCCCACCACTGTATTCCGGAATCCTGCCTCAGCATTAACTCTGACCTGGTAATCCCTCTGCCAGACACCCAGTGAGGCAGGACACAGGTTTCATCTTGTCCCATGTCACGCTCGCCCTCTTGCACATGCTGGGACCCACACGTGGGAATGCTTGGGTGTGCTTACGTACCCAGAGCCTCACCAGGACACAGGCTCACATGTTTGAGACTCGCCAGTTTAATACTTTGAGTGGTATGATGATGCCATCAGTATAAATCAGCAGACCCAGGTGGACAGCCGGGCTAGTCCCCGGGGGTGGGAGATTCAAAAGATTCAAAAGAACAAAGCAGTCTCTGCCATGGGGTATGGATTGGACCCCTTAACCTGCATCCCCGTCCCGCTTGCTCAGGCTCTGGTGTTTCATGGGATGCCGAGTCCTCAGCCCAGAGGCAGGGATGAAAAGACACAGCTTTCTGGGCCCCCGGGTGGGGGAAGTGGTCTGCCCACCACCTCTTCCAGGTGCTCCCGCTGCTTCCACAGGGAAGGGCACAGGCTGCATGTGCTGCACCCCGCCTCTGCCTCTGGGCACATAGCGGGGCTGGGGCTGATTCCTGTTTCTTCAGGTCCCGAGCTATTGTGCACCTGTCCCTCTTGATTCCTTCTGCTGCCTGTTTCTTACAGAAGTGGTACAGCGGACAGCCTCTTTCTGGTGTCACCTGGGATCTGTGGGGGACGGCTGGAGGGGACCTTGCCCTAAAGAGTTTGGGAAGCTGCCGCAGAGCTACGACCTCTGGTAGCTGATGTTGCCTGGTGGAGCCAATCCGTTTGGAATAAATGAACAATTCCAGCCCTTTTTATTATGGCTGCATTTCTAGAAGATTCCAGCACTCTAGCCCCCCTTAGAAGGGGAAAAGGAAATAAGAATGTTGATTTTCGCTTCAGGATCATTCTGGGCTGTTACCTTTCCTTTTCACCTGATTCCAGGCCTACTTGTTAGAAGCAGAATTGCTTAGGAGGCACCCCCACCTGCCTTGTCTGTGAACATAAATGGACCAGATAAAGACACAGGCTTTGGGGTGAGTGCCCAACAGAGGGCAGGGGGATGACCCCATCCCCCAAGGTGGGAGGTCTTCACCTCCTGGGGGCTCTCACACCCTTCATAGCTGGGCTGGAATTTGGCCATTCGAGGAGTTCAGGTCCACTGTCAACATTGAGGGCCTGGTGTGCGCTGGGACCCTGCTAGCTTCTGGGCACAGAAAGATGCCCCAAGGTTCCCAGATGCTAGACTTGAGGACAGTGTGGACAGCAGTGCTCTCAGAGAGGAGAGGTTGCACACATCCTGGTGGGAAAGAAGATGCCCCAGGGCTTTGGGGGGCAGGTGAGGTTCTCCTCTAGAGAAGAGAGATGCTCTGCAGACATATGCCCGGGAGCACATGTGGGGGATGCCTAATAAATAGCATCTCGAGGAGCGGATCAGAGGACAGGATGCTCTGGGGCCAGGCTGTCCAATATGCTAACTGCAGATGGCTCTGGAAATGTGGCCTGCCCGAATAAAGGGTAAAATACACACCAGATTCCAGAAATTTACTGCTTAAAAAAAGAAGTTAAAAATCAGTTGTACAGCACAGTAATGTTGAAACAGTCTTACATGGTGGTGGGTGGTAACTAGACGTAGGGTGGTGATCATCTCGTAAGGTACCCCAGAAACTAGTATTATGTGTCAGTTGCCGATTAAACATTTTGTTAATTTTGATATTGATTATATATTTTAACAGTATTTTGGATATATTGTGTTAAGTGAAATATAGTGTTAAAATTAATTTTTACCTCTTTTTAAAATGTGGCTACTGGAAAATTTGAAATGGCATATATAAGCCACATTATATCCATCAGAGGGCTCTGCTCTAAAGATAGTTTCAGGGTCATCTTTGAGACAGACAAGGACCCCATGGAAAAGGAAAGACATTTTTGGAGGACAAAATCATTTTTGAGGTGGTTGCTTGCTTCTGTGTGTGGATTCCTTCCTTCTCACTTTATTCACCTTTATTCTCAACCGGTATTACATTACAAGAAAAGTTGTATTTTCAGGGTTTGCTTATTAAAATAATTATAAGGGTACCCTGAATTTGCCTCCACCTCTCCTCAAAAGGTCCCAAGCAATGGTATTTAGTTATAAATCTTTATAAGAAACCCCTAAGACGTTGGCTGATTTGTTAGGCTGCCTTTTTGGTGCTTGGACAACTGGGTACTCATGGCGTGTGCCCAGGATACAGAGTAACCCGGCTGGATGACCTCCCCTGCACTCCCGCCCTGATGCTGGCTGTCTGCCCACAGAGGCAAGTGGCCACACCATCACCCCTGAGAATCCAGCTCCTCTGTGCTGTGCATAGCAGTGTGCTCCGTGTCCAGCACACGGTGTCTGGGGACACATCCCTGGACCCCAGAGCTCAGGGTCATCCTCCCCATGCTGTAAGCCTAGCCTACAGAGACCTTGGGGTTTCTCAGAGTGTGGTTGCAGGGAGTCTCAGAGGAGGGCCCTAGGAGTCTGTCAAAGCTGTGTGCTCCCACCTGTCATCCCTTGTATTTGTTTTCTAGAGCTTTCCAAGTCCCAGAATGACATGACCTCTGACAAGCAACTCCTAGCCACGGGTCCCAGGCAATGTGCTAGCCGGACAGAGAGAAGGAGCCAGTCTGACACTGCCATCAACGTCACCACCAGGGTATTCCCCAAGGCCACCAGGCCACCACGAGAGCTACTTCTAGCCCATTTCTCTATAGATTTCGTTTGCCTTTTATCTTAAGCAGTCCGAAAAATGTAATTATGAACCCCTCTCTCTTGGGAAGGCCTGGCCAAATGATGATCAAATTTCAGGGTCTATTTGGAAAATAGTTGAGAGCAGGGAAAAGATTCTGCCTAATGCCAAGCCCCCAGGGCTTCCAGGTGTCCACTGGGACTCCTTGCCGGCTTCAAGACCGTGCCAAAGGCAAAGGGCCCACCTGCAGGGCCGAAATGTGCCAGGTGGTTCCTGAGGTTGAAGACCCTCATGGAGAGTCAAGAGGCTTTCCTACTCCCAACACCCTCCGGTTAGAATCTCTCCTGGTCTCTGCTAGAAACCACTAAAAACGCAACTGCTGCATGACCACGGGCAATCACGAGGGAGGCTCTCTCCAGGTATCTAAACCACAAGAGAGCGCACCTAATAAAGGCTTTTAAGTAAATAATTAGTCTGGCTTTCCACCAGGATTAACCAAGTCTGAAGCAGATGCTCTGGCCCAGGACAGAAAGCGCCTTTAGAATCAGAACACCTGGGTTGTAGTCCAGCTGAGGTGACCTGGCTAGGGCAGGTGTCCTATATGGGTCAATATGGGGTCAATATGACCGCTCTGGTGGGCTGAACAGGACAGGTGCCCCTTCCCTGCAGCTGTGGGCTCTACTCAGGATGTCCCCAGACTGCTTGAGCCAAGTGGATTAGATTAGCCCCACCTCCTGCTGGAACTTCCACACACAAGCTCAAGGTTTCAAATTCTGCCTCCGTTGGGGACCCCTCTACCTTGGGTGTGTCACATGAAGGCCCTGAGCATCAATATGCTCTTGGTGAAATGAGAACTCGTTCTGCCCAAGGCCACAGGCCGCTTGTAAAGATCCCCAGAGATAATACAGCATCTAAATTGCTACCTAAGCCATCTAAATATACTATCTAAATTGCCAGTCTTTCTTACTGTGTGCCAGACTCCACTCAAGGCTTTCCTCGGATCATCTCGTTTTATCCTCACACTACCCCACACTATTGCGTTTGGCCTTGTTTTACATTTAGGGAAACTGAGGCTTACGGAGATCAAGTCACATGGCCTTGGTTACACAACCAGAAAGTGGTGGGCGGTCTTGGTTTGGAGGCCGAACTCTGGAGCAGCTATTTGCAAGTTGAATGCCTGTGTGAGTCACTCGGAAATGTTGAAATGTGGAGTCTGAATCAGTAGATCTGGGGCAGGTGTGAGATGCAGAGTCTCCGATGAGTCTCTGAGGAGCTGCTGGGTGAGCAGGTGAGGCTGCTGCTGCCCTTGGGACCTAGATTTAGGACAAGGCATCTAGAGTGTGTGAGATGTATTTGGAAGGCCTTTGAAATGCCGAAGTGCAAACAAGTGTTCGCTCCTCTCGGCTCCCGTGGTCTGCACAGACACCATCCCGGCCACCGTCTCTGGGTCAACAGGTCGAGGAGACGTCAGCACACATTTAGGAGACACTGTGTTCTGGGCATGATGGCAGTGTTACATACTAGTCACACTTAATTCTTACAAAAGTACTGGGATAGATATTGTTAGTCCTGTGATAAAGATCTAGAACCTGAGGGACACCTGGGTGGCTCAGTGGTTGAGTGTCTGCCTTCCACTCAAGGTGTGATCCCAGGATCCAGGATCGAGTCCCACGTCAGGCTCTCTGTCTCTCATGAATAAATAAATAAATCTTTTAAAAAATAAAAGATCTAGAACCTGAGCTTTAGCGAAAGGGTAACCGTCTTGTCTAATATATATACAGCTAATAAAATGTAGAGCCAGGAGTAGAGTCCAGGTTTTTTTTTTTTTTAAGATTTTATTTATTTATTCATGAGACAGAGAGAGAGAGAGAGAGAGACAGAGAGGTAGAGACACAGGCAGAGGGAGAAGCAGGCTCCACACAGGGATCCCAATGTGGGACTTGATCCCAGGATACAGGGATCACACCCTGGGCCGAAGGCAGGAGCTCAGCCGCTGAGCCACCCAGGCGTCCCTAGAGTCCAGGCTTGTATGGTTCTAAATTCTATCCTCATAACCTCCTCTTTATATGCCACATCAGGAGGACAAATGAGGGCCCAAAGAATTGGGATGAAGCCCCTCTGATGCTAACACTCATAAGGTTACCAGGCACTGTTATTGATGTAAACCCCTTTAGATATTTGACTTTTTAAATCCTTAAAACAACCCTGTGTGGCCTGTGCCATTGCTTTTGCTATGAAAGATGAGGGCATAGGAGCAAAGAGATGCCCAAGGGGGGTGGTCAGCCAAAGCCTGCTCCAGACACCACTCCTGTGATGCCTGCAGGAAGAGGTGCCCACAAAATTTGTGGACAGCACGTTTCCTGTTTCTGATGTCATGTGCCATGTGATGGGGCTTAGCTTTTGGCATTCAGAAGCTGACCTATAACATGACATCCGCAGCATTTGGCCTCCCCCACTGTATGTCCACGTGGAACCAGCCTGCTGGGCAATTGCCAGCTTGTCTGATGGAACAAGGGAGCTCCAGAGTAGAGGCGAGGAAGGCTATGAGGGCCAAGACTAAGGACCCCCACCATGTAGACACTCTGTCATGTGTGTCCAGTTCACTGCCAGGCTCTTGGCAGGACGTGCTTCCTCCCTTTTACAGGCCTTCTCTCTCCCCACCTTTCTTAAGGATATGGCTGTTTTAAAGGAGCAATTTAGCCAAATGTTTATAAAGTGCTCAGCAATCATGGCATGCTCTATAAATGCTAAATAATTACGGGGTTGAAATATAAAGAGTACATCTTTAAATAGGACATTTGTCAGACTGCAATTACACATGCCCTAGCTGGTGAGCTCATAAAAGTCACACTCACATTTCCATTGGGGCACTTTGGAACGTTTTGCCAACATCAAGCACCCAACGCGGTGCCCTTCGGGAGTAGGGGACGTCAGTGCCCACTTTGCAGGTGGCTACACTGAAGCACAGAAATAGTAGATAGCTTTCTTGAGACCACATGGTGACTCTGGGATGGTCATTGAAAAAGGAGCTCAGGATCGCTTCCCACGCTGCTGCTTTGCCCATTAAGTGTGAGCAGTGTGTTCTGAAAATGCTCCCTCACTGCAGCATCTGGGCCAGGACTCTTTAAAAAAAACAAAAAACAAAAAACAAAAAAAAAAACCCTGATTTATTCATGAGAGACACACAGAGAGAGGCAGAGATATAGGCAGAGGGAGAAGCAGGCTCCTTGCAGGAAGCCCAATGTGGGACTCGATCCCAGGACCTGAGTGGAAGGCAGATGCTGGACCACTGAGCCACCCAGGTACCCCTGGGCCAGGACTCTTTGAGAAGTGTCCTCTCTCCCCTGTCCTCTGAGAGCTCTGTGCATCCGGTGGGGTTTTAGTGTGCATCTCATTAACGTGCGTGGCTCTCTATTGGCCGTAAGGACATGCACCTGTTAACCAGGAAGGAAACACAAGAAGGCGTTGGGAGGAGCTACCTCTGAGGAGAGGGAACAGGATGCAGGCGGGGAAGAAACCTCTCTTTCATTCTGCACCCCTTATGTGAAGTTTTCCCACGTAGGTCTGAAATCTGAAGAAAGCACCTGCCCCGGGGCGTGGCGCTCCCCGCATACTTCTCTCTCCCTCCCTGCTGCCCACACCAAGGCTGAGCAGCCAGCCAGAGGGGAAGGGAGGCAGAGGCCTTGGGTTCAACTGTGAAAACCCTGGATCCTCAGACTGGAGGGCCCTTGACCCCCCTGAGCGGTCCCAGGAGAGGGGGCCTGACTTTCAGCTGGGATTTGTCCTGGCTCGGAGCGTGTCCTGTTGGCTGAGCCCAACCCCGGTGATTTTTTGATACCTCAGATGCTGTCTCAGCATGGCCATGGCTGTTCCCCCTTCTCTTATTTAAGATCAGGAAGAAAAAAGAAAGGGAGAAAAAGATGAAAGAAAGAATCCCAAATGCACAGACTGTGTGGTTTCAAGGAGTCCATAATTTGATCCAATCAAGCCTAATGTGTGTTGATCTTTCAGGATAGAATATTAAGATTATTAATTCTGTTTGGAGTAGAATTTGGGGCGATCTCATTTGGGGTGATCATTTTTCTCTGTAACCTGGCCCAAACTAGATGGTTATTGAAATACATTAAAAATTGCAGGGGCGGGGGGCAGAAACATGCCTGGACAAGGTCGATAAGTTGCTCTTTGAATCTTGATGCCCTTTAATGGGGCACAGAATGTGACAAAGTCATCCAGGTCCTTCCCAATTTACCAGGGAGGAGTTGGACACAATATTTCAGGTTGATTCCTTAGTCAAAACAGGCATGTTCTTCAGAAGAGTGTTTGCTGACTTTTCTAATAATTTCAAAATATTTATATTTGCACTTAAGCTTCACTAAAGGTTTTCCAGAATCCTAACATATTTAGAAACACAGTCTTCCCTGGCTATGAATTTGACATGCCACGTGATCGCTAATATAAAGATAATTCTCTTCATTCCTTTTCAGAACTTTCTGTCATCAATTTTTTTTAACGATTTGAGAACTATGTTGCTACAGAATATGGAATTAAGTGGTGATGTATTAAGCACCTAAGTGTCCCAAAGCTTTATATTAATATTGAGCCTCTATTATTCTTTGTATCCTGCTCTGATGGCTGCCTTGTGTGCTATTTCAGATGGGATTCTCCACATCCGCCAAGGCCATTGCCTGATGCGCTCAGAGGGTGGAGGCCTTGTGGTAGGAGAGCCCTCTGACTACTTCCTCCCACTCGGAGTTTCTCCGGATCATTAGCCATCCTTTCCTTCTGCCTCAGAGATGGACGTTCCTTCCCAAGGCGGAGCCCTCCCAGGCACTGGGCCCATCCTCCTCGTTTACTTCTGGGACCTTGCTTGCTCAGCTCAATGCTTTCCCCATCTTTGTTTCTCCTCAACCTGCAAATATGGCCCGATCTTCCCCACCTTAAAAAAAGTAAAAGGAGCATCTTTTGAAGGATTCCCTTCAAGCTGTTCTTCCATTTTTTCATCATGTCCAAAACCCATGAACACATCCTCCACTCTTGCTATCCCTGCCCTTGCCCTGCTTTGGCCTCCTTCCTGTTCACTCTTAGCTTCCGTGCAGTGCATTCCCCCTGCCAATGTGACACTGTTCCCCAGGGTGCCCTTGGGCACCCCTGATTGAAGAGTGAGATGGCCAATTCGAACATCGTCTCATCAATGACTTTGTCCCCTTTGACACAGCTGACCAGAATTCCATTAATTACAAAAATGACTTTATTCCTTTTATATATACTAAACCCATGCCTACACACTAATGAGAGTTTAGAAAACAGACGAAGGAGAGGAGGAGGAGGGAAGAAAAAGCAAACAGCGTTGACCCAGGATGATCCCTTGGAGTACACATGTACATTCGTTTACAAAAATGGCATCATGGGGCATCTGGGTGGCTCAGATGGTTAAGTGGCTGACTCTTGGTTTCAGCCCAGGTCATGCTCTCAAGGTTGTCAGATCAAGCCCTGTGTCAGTCTCCACGCTCAGCAGGGAGTTGCTTGGGATCCTCTCCCTCTCCCTATGCCCCTCCCCCTGCTCACTCTCTCACTCTCAAATCTTTTTTTAAAAAATGGCATCATGCCACACATCCTTTTTTGTAATTTGCTTCAAAAATGTCTAACATTATATTCTAATTCCTTCCATATCAATACATATCATTTTTCACAGCTACTTTTTTTAGGGCTTATAATTCATTCTGCCAAACTGCCCTTCTGGGTTTGATTCAGTTTACCCGACCACTAAAAGTGGAGTAGCCCGCTTTTTAGCTCCCCTGTTGGCACTAAATGTTATGCCTTCTATTTTAATATTTGTTAATCTGATGGGCAATTTTTAAAAATCTGCATTTAATTTTAGGTGAGTCTTTTCTCGTATTCTTTTCTCTTTGAACATCTTTCATCCCCGAAATCTTCCCCTTGGTTCTACGACTCTCCTGGCCCTCTGTCTCCTCTCTTGGGCCTGCTCTTTCGTGTCCCCAAGCTATCTGTTTTCTGGACAACCTGACATGTCAGGAATCTGGCCTCTTGAGTCACTGTGGTTGCATGGATCGCTGGCAGGTGTAGGAACATGCTGCATATTTGACCGTCATGATGGGCCTTCCACTCGTGATGCCCCACCTTTGAGTCTCTCCCTAGCCTCCCACTCAGGTCATACTTCCCCTGAAGATCATCCCAACGCTCCCTCTGCATAAACTCTCCCCCTCCCCTTTCCTGTTGACTTGGCCTGTGCCTCCATTTCAATAGAGTATCTATTTCTGACCATCTAGATGAGCCCCTGGAGGCTGGACAGTGTGTCTTCTCCTCCTTCCCCTTCTCCTTCATCCCCATCTTTCCACCCCAGGACTTAGAACAGTGGGTCAGAGATAGCATTGCTAAACAAATGTCTGATGGAACCGAGCTGGCGTTCTGGGGATCAAGAGCATAATGAGTATGAGTAATCTGGAACTAATCACTTATTTCACTTGTTTACTAATATTCTCAGTCTTTCCTTCCTGAAAATTGCAACTATTTTGCAAATATTATATTTCCAAGTTCCACTTCCAACCTGGCATCAAAAAAAAAAAAAAAAACCTAAAGTCTGGATTCACAAACTTCCTATTTTCAACCAGGAAGAGGTTTCTGACCTGGTGCATTGTGTTTGTGGCTCTCTGCTAACACCGTGCAAGAGAAGTTTCTAACCACTGCCATGTGTTACTGAGCACTTGAAATGTGTCGAGTACAATGGAGGAGCTAAATTTATTAATTGTATTTGTTTTTAATTAATGGGAACTTAAATAGCCAGATGTAGCTGGTGACTGCCACATTGGAAAGCACAGCTGTATACATTATAGAAGAGGTACTGACTATTAAAGTTTTTTGATAAAATTGAGAGGCATTAATTTTTTTATAAGTGCATTAGAACTACAACTTATAGGCTAAATATTATGTTTCATGTGATTTAATACAGGGATCATTATTAAGGTCAAAATGTAGACTTCCTTAAGACTTTTTACTTCATAAGTGATCCGCCTACCACTGTTCATGAATATCCCAGTGCTTGCTGGGGCCTGCTGGGGCCCCACAGGTGTGTGTATATGCATTTATCCAAACAGAAGTGTGTGCTCTCTTACTCAGCACCCAGAAGTTTGCATATGAGTGCCATCAGGTCATAGATGCAGGCTCTGCTTAGTGTAGTTACCACACTTGAACAAAAATCACACTGGGATGCAGACTCCATCATTAATTCTGTGTTTCCTTTTCCAGAAGGCAAGTGCGCCAGATATTCTAAAAGCCCTCAATCAAGAGAGTCCCAAACGCCCTACTAACCCTGTTTTGAAGCAAGAAGATCTCTCATCCCGGCCAACGCCCAGTACTGTATTCTCAGGAGGCTTGAGACACGTGAGTGTCATCTAATTCCCTAAACACGTGAAGCATGGTTGTCACCATGATGCCGCATTGGGTTGGCAGGAACAGGTAGATGGGGACTGTTGTCTTGTGAGATGAACTGCAACAGGACAATAGAACTTAGAGGTAATATTTTACTTACCCTGGGAGCTGGGGAAACCTGGCTATACTTCGATGGTTTTTCTTTTATACACACAGATAGTAATTAATAATAAATAATGGTATCTTCAGATGAGAAGTTTTTACTTTTAATGACGTCTAATTTATCAAATATTTCTCTTACGATTATTTCTGGGTCGTGTCTACACACAAGTCATGAAGACCTCCTCCTGTTTTCTTCTAGAAGCTTTCTGAAAGTTTACTTTTTATGAGTAGGTCTGTGCTTTAACTCATTAATGTCGTGAATGGTGTAGGTTGAGGCTCCTTTTCCGGCACGAATACCCATTTGCCTAAAAAAAGACTCTCGTTTCCCCATGGACTTTGGTATCTTTGTTGAAAATCAAGTAACCGTGTGACTGTGGGTCTTTTTCTGGGCTCTCTGTTCTGCTTTGCTGATCTTTCCGCTGTGTCGTGGCAAGACCACCCGCGCTTGATTACTGAAGGAAGTCAGAAGTCAAGTAGCGTAGGTCCTCCAACTGTGCTCTTCTTTTTCAAGATATTTCAAAGGTTGGGCCTGTTGAGAGGCAGGCCTTTTAGTCATTCATTTGTTTATTCAAAAACATTGAAGGAAGGCTGACTTTATGCCCAAGACTGTGATACATGCTATGACAGAGGCTTGGATGATGGGTCAAGTCACTGTCATAGCTCTTTAACGTATTAAATAATCTTAGACAATCACAAAGACTCTCTAAACTTCAGAATCCTCATCAAGGAATGGGCATCAAGGTTGTTCTTTTTATTTCACTGGGTTGTTTGGAGAATCAAAATGTACTAATTTTGTGGTGTATTAGAGTGGTTAAGAACTCAGCTTCTAGGGGCACCTGGATGGCTCAGTGGTTGAGCATCTGCCTTTGGCTCAGGGCATGATCCAGGGGTACTGGGATTGAGTCCTGCCTCAAGCTCCCTGCAGGGAGCCTGCTTCTCCCTCTGCGTATGTCTCTGCCTCTCTCTCTCTGTGTCTCTCATGAATTAAAAAAACAAAATACAAAAAACTTGTGGGACCGTGACATGACTCCTTACCAGAGCTGCTGTTGATTGAAAGCCTACTGTGTGTGAACCACTGAGCCGGATGCTCCCCCATCAGTCATTTGCACAACGATCTTGCCTGGTGGAGATTATTACCCATTTCACAAATGGGAAGACAGGTTCACAGAGGTTGACGTAGCTTGCGGAGCCCTTACAGTAACATGGAGCTCTGACTCAACACCCAGGAGCCCCGTGAGTCAAAGCCCGGGCCTTCTGTGCTGTCCCACAGATTTGGTGACTCTCCAAGGGAGTGGGTTCCCTGACACCCATGGTTCGGCCACCCCCTGATTCTGCAAAACTTGCCTGGGGCGGACCCACACCTAGACAACCTTTAGGACTGCTGGGAAATGATTCTGGGGTGAGGAGAAGCAGGTGAGTGTGTTCCTCTTGCCCTGTTATTTCTTCAAACTACACTGCAAATTCAACAAGGCTCCCTCCTCCTCCTAGGGTGCTCTGACTTGTGCCCTTCAGGTTAGCCTCACGAGGTTGACTTTTTATGTGATTAATCCTCACCTGTTCCCTTTAGCTGAAGCAGTGTTTGTTTGGGGAAACCAAACTCCCACAAAGCAAACACTGATTATTGCTTCTAGCCCAGAGATGGTGCCTGTTCTGACAGACATTGACATCCTCTAGAAACAGGAAGTCGGAGCCGGAAGCAGCTTTCTAAATCTCTACTTATTACAAAAGGAGCAATACAAAGAGACAGTAAATTGGGGAAAAGCTTCAACCTCCCAGGTAGTTGAATCAGTGCAAAAGTGATAGCAAGTGGTATTTGGAGGTCATTTTAGCAAATTTTATATTTTAAAATTTTTAAAAATATTTTATTTATTTATTCATGAGAGACACAGAGAGAGAGAGAGGCAGAGACACAGGCAGAGGGAGAAGGAGGCTCCATGTAGGGAGCCCAATGTGGGACTCGATCCTGGGACTCCAGGACCATGCCCTGAGCCAAAGGCAGGTGATAAACCATTGAGCCACACAGGTGTCCCCATTTTAGCAAACTTTAGAAGTGATACAGGACAGAGTTGGCAAGGGTGTGGGGCTGCAGGCGTTCTTATAAACTGCTGGGGGGTCTGCTGGAGGGCAATTTACTATACCTATCAAAAGCCTTTAAAATGCATGTTCATGGCATCTGGGTGGCTCAGTGGTTGAGCCTCTGCATGGAGCCTCCTTCTCCTTCTGCCCATGTCTCTGCCTCTCTCTGTCTCTCATGAATAAATAGATAAAATATTTTTAAAAAATTGTTTCCTTCAATTATGCAATTTCAGTTATAGGAAATATTCTTTTTTTAAAAAAATGTATTATTATTTTTTAAGTAGGCTCCATGACCATCGTGGGGCCTGAACCCATGTCCCTGAGATCAAGAGCCACATGCTCCACCGACTGAGCCAGCCAGGTGCCCTGGAAAAGTTCTTAAAAAAATTATCATAAATGTTGCCCCAAAAATGCATACCTGGATGTCCAGGGAACATTGCTTTTAACTGTTTCCAGTTTGAAAAATTAGAAACAAGCAAAATGCTCAAAATAGGGCAATAGTTAAATAAGTTATGGTGCATTTATTCAGAGGAATATCTTGTAGCTATTAAAAATAATGTTGAAGAATATTAATGTAGAAAATACACATTGGTAAATGAAGATATAAGGTTATAAGATAGTATTACAGTAGCATATGTTTATAAAAACAAAATGGTTATACTATAGATATTGCAAAACAAGTGAAAGGAATACACCAAAATTTGACTCTGAATGATGGGATTTTTTTCTTAATTTTTTGGGGGGGTCTCATCTGTATTTTCTGTATTTTTTTCCATAAAAATGTAATGTTTGGGAAGGGAAAAAACAATTTGCTTTAAAAATAAAAAGTAAAAGTCCAATCATCAGAAGGAGTGGAACTTAGTGAAGGAATACATTCATTTTTTATACCTCCTCTAGGAGAAAACTTCCTATCAGAGTTTCTGTCTGGTTTTTAATTTTGTTTATACTTCTGTTTTAAAAAAATCTAAAAAGGAATGTATTCATATCAGTGTTTTCACACCGTTTACATTTTTCCTGCCAGAAGGTGTTGTGATGCAGGAGTGAGCACATGAAGTAGACATTGGAACTCCTCAGATATGGAGGTTGGCATAAGTTTGAGGGAGAGCAGATTTTTATTCAAAGAAGTAAAAACTCCCAACCTCCCAGACATTTTCTTTAAACATAAATTTGAGATGTGGGATATCACCATGGCATTTGGGTTACTCCTAAGTAGGGACTGCCTCAAAATACTCACTCTGTCCATCACACAGAGGTGCATGTGGGAATCCTTCATTTTCTGTCAATATTTCTGAACTTGTATGGCTCCACTGATTTTTTTTTATTATTATTTACTTGAGAGAGAGAGAGAGGGAGAGAGAGCAAGAACAAGAGATAAGGAGCACAAACGAGGTGAGGGACAGAGGAGAGTTCTGTCCTGAGATCATGACCTGAGCCAAAGGCAGATGAGAGATGCTTAACCAACTGAGTCACACAGGTGCCCCTGGCTCCGTTGATTTTTTTTTTAAAGAGTATTATGTTTAGCTACCTACCCATATTAATGTATTTTTATTTAAAAAAAACAAAAAGGATGAATATGACCTATTCATCCAATGGCATAGTGTTTGGGAGTGACAACAAATGAACCCAAACCACATCTGATGACATGGATGAATTTAGAAAATAGAACATCAGAGAGCCTGGGTGGCTCAGTGATTGAGCATCTCCCTTTGGCTCAGGTCATGATCCCAGGGTGCTGGGATCAAGTCCCACATCAGGCTCCCTGGAGGGAGCCTGCTTCTCTCTCTGCCTATGTCTCTGCCTCTCTCTGTGTGTCCCACATGAATAAATAAATTAAAATCTTAAAAAACAATATCAAGAGAAAGTCAATCATAGAGGAATATATATACACTAGGAATTCTAATTATATAAATTCCAAGACCAGGTGAAGCTAACCAATATACCGTTTAGGGGATATATATGTATGTACTAAAACCACAAAACTGAGCCTCATCCCAATCTTATGTTGTAGAACCCCATTTTACAGGTAAGGAAACTGAGTCTACAGTGGGTAAGAATATTGCTCAAGATCACACAACCACTAGGTGTCGGGACCTAGAGCTGAATGAAAGCCTCTGGCTCCATTGCCACCATCTTGACCACTCTACAACCATGCTCTCAGTGTGCTTCTGGTGATCAGGATTTTTTTTTTCTTTTTAAAGAATGCAGTTGACCTTTGAACAACGTGACGGGCAGGGGCACTGACCCGCTGTGCCATCGAAAATTTGTGTATAACTTTCAACTCCCCCAAAACTTAACTCATAGCCTACTGTTGGCTGGAAGCCTTACCAATACCATATATAATCAATTAACACATATGTTGAATGTTATATGTATAATGTACTGTATTCTTACAATAAAGCTAGAGAAAAGAAAATGTTAAGAAAATCATAAGGAAGGGGAAACACATCTGCAGAACTGTACTGTGCTTCCTGGGAAAATCTGCATGGTTCAAACCCATGTTGTTCAAGGGTGAACTGTGGCTGTGGTTTCTGTTGACCCCTCCTTCCTGCCTTTGTGAAAGAAAAGGGCATCGAGCCTTGCTTACAGCTGCAGAAGCTAACTTGTGCCCTTCGGAGAAAGTCACTGAATGCTCTCTGCCTGCCTTCACTTTTGCGAAGGTCGATCTCCTTCGCTTTTGCTCAGATTTATTTCTCTTTCAAACCCCACCAACACCAATGGTTCAAATCAAAGTCAGGCTGAGTTCTTAATTGCTCTTCTGGACCAGGACCTTTTGGTTGACTCCATGGGCTGCTGCTCAATGTTACAACTTGTTCCAAGATCCTGTTCTGGCTACAAGGAAAATAGAACTAGAAAACCCTCCCAAGGCAACAGTGGTAGAGACATAAATGATCTCAGGAATGCGGTTGACCAAAGGATGTGCTCTGCTGTCCTTTCATTATCTGAGGCTATACTTTCCCTGGCTCAGCGGGCACAGTAGCTGCATGACTCAGAGATGCTAGTGTAAGCTGATAGCCCAAGGACTTAGGCACCCTGGTCCCCTTCCAGTTCCGCTTCTGATTTACTGTGCAACTTTTGGGTGGATCCCAACCTACTTTGACGTCCGCTAATGTACTTATGAAATGAGAGATGAGTAATTCTAATGCTTTCTGGATGCATTATAATTCTTGCAGCAAGCTGGCTGCGCCAGGGGCAACCTTCTCCACCCCAGAACAGCTGTACACTCAGTAGGGAGGACCTCACCCCCCAATGTGAGTGTGTGGGGATCAGATCTGCCCCGTTTTGTCACCTATAGGCCAGCTGTCCCAGGCCTGATGCGTTTCTCTGGGCAGCTCAGTTTCCTGCTCTCAGATCATTTCACACCTTTTCCAGTTCTTTCAACACTCACTCAGATCTTTTACCCTGCTCCTCTTGCCATTTTCAACAAATATCCCTTTTCACCCCCCCCCGCCCCCCCAAAAAAGGAATCAGGTCAGAATTGTCTAATCCTCCGTAATACTAAAATTAACCTCACTGTGCCTACTCCTTCACCTACTCCACCTTCCCTCCCGCATGCAGCCAGTTGCCCCGGTGAGACACCCCAGTGCTGGGGACACATCCTCTCCCACCCTTTCTGTTTCCTCCATGAAAGATAGCATAGCTTTTCTTTCTGTGCCTTTACGGTTTTTTGTCTTTGATTTTCAGCAATTTTATTTTATTGTTATTGTAGTTCACTAAACTACTGCCTGCCTGTAGTTTTATTGAAAAATAGTTTCCATCTGGATTCTGCAGTTAAATGACTTAGGAAGTTGTCTAAGATGAGGACGACCTCCCGAGTGAGTCTTCTTACTTCATTCTGTAGCTCCTTGAGACCCAAGACCACATATCCCATCAGGCCATGATATTTACACAGAGCCCTGCTAAATCAGAGTACTTCAAGTGCTTTCTCTATTCCCTTCATAAATATTTACCGGGGATCTACCATGAGCCAGGCACGGAGCTGGGTGCTGGAGTTACAGAGGAGGGCAGGACCCAACAGAGCCCTGTGCTCTTTCAGCTTCCAGTGGCATGGGGAGGTGGGTGTGACCCTCTTTCAGAGAGAATGTTCTTTTGCTTTGAGCAGACAGCTAGAGTGAAGGTAAACAGTCTTCTCCCACCTGGTGTTGATTGAGCTCACTCCAAGCTGGGTGTCCATCTTTGTGAGGACCCCATTTGTAGTTGACTCTGACTCCTGGGAAGTAAGCTGGGGGGTGAGGGTAAGGGTCCCCAGTGAAAGTCTGGAGGTCACTAAGACCCTCCTCTGTAGTGGGCTTTCCCAGGAAGATGAACCTTGAAAGCATTTTTCAGCTGCTCAGTGAGAGCTTCCAAATCAGCAAATCCCTTGAATGGAAAAGGAGCACCTAGTGTGTCTCCCACTGGTGCGTTTCTGCTTTCTCTGTGAACTTAGCTCCTGAAGCTCAGCATGCCTTCAGGACCCTGGGACACTGGTTTTTGAGTCCCAGCCCTTGGCTTCTGAGCCCCATGGCTTGACTTCTCCATCCTCCAGGCCTGTCTGCTTGCACAGGGACAGATGCCTTAGAAGGAGACACAACTCAGAGCATCAGGCTCATGGCAATTCTCTCACTTGGGCCCTGTGTCCTGCCTGTCTTGGTAGCTCTATAACGCCTTGAAACTGCCTGTGATTTAATTCAGTTTTCTGTTCGTTCTAGGCAGAAACCTTGCTGTAATACAACTTAGTCTGACATGGCCCAAAGGGTGGGGGGTGTCCTGGGACAAATGCCATGTTAATGATTGGAACTGTTTGTTTCACCCCTGCATTCATCACCCCTGTTATGCTTGCAAAAAGTGCACACACCTTTTGCAAGCATCCCTTGCCATCCCCTCTTCACTGCATGTCAGGGATTCCTGCTGTCTTACCACTCCTTGCCTTCTTGAGTGGAAAATGTAAAGTAAAGATTGTTTTCCATTCTAACAGTGCATGGATGTTGGCAGATGACATTTATCAGAGCCCGTGACTGGATGCGGTGGAATTGGTTGTGTTCTTGGTGTTAGTTAATTCAGGTTCGGGTCCTGTGATAAGTTGTTGGTTTGGTTTGGTTTGGTTTGGCTCTCTCTCTAGTGAGAGAGAAAGCCTGAGACTTTCTTTTTAGTTTCTTCCCACAGTGTTTTGCAGCGTGGAGGAACTCACTGAAAATTAGAAGTGGAAATCATTCTGGCTTCCCTATTTTTATAGAATCAGCCCTGAGATTTTTGCATGGGAATGGGACAAATATTTAAGCAAATTTAATAGTGCTATAGGGGTTTGGTTGTGTTTTAGGCACGGGCATTCCACGCCACTTATCTACATCACCGAAGCTCACAGCATCCTAACTTATGGTGGCAGTTTTATTTTTTGTTTAAGCACCCATGAAAATTTAAACAGAATTTATTGTTGTCTTTGACTACATACTTTACACATTTTATTCATTTACTTCTTACCATAACCCTATGAGGCTGGTATTAATTTTTCCATTTAGACCTTGACACAGCTAATGAGTAGCAGAACAAAAAATGGAATCCAACTGTATCTGATTCCCAATCATGGTACTTAGCACCCCTGCTCTGCTGCTTTCCACATGGCTGTTCCTGCCACAGGTATTATCTGCCCTCCTGAGACTTATCTTTGCAGAATTGCACAGGAGATAATCCACTTCATCCCAACTGATTTATGTTAAAGAATGAGATTGTGTAACCTTTATTGCTAGGCAAACACCGTATCTGGGCAAGACCAGACTTTCTGAAGAATTCCCATCTCCTTAGGACAGAATATGTGGCAACTTATTTTGGCAAAGTACAAGCTGGTGTATTATTAACTTACTATGAGTCAGGATGTATGGTTTGTGTGAATTTTGATTAATTTGATATCTTGAAACCAGAACTGCAACAAATAAACTGTGAAGTAATTTATTATATCTCTTATTCTTGATTTCAGGCAAGTCTAATTAGCATTAACAGCACTTGTACAGAGATGGGCAATTTTGACAATGCTAATGTCAGTGGAGAAATAGAGTTTGCCATTCGCTATTGCTTCAAAACCTGTTCGTTAGAAATATGCATCAAGGCCTGTAAGAATCTTGCCTATGGAGAGGAAAAGAAGAAAAAGTGCAATCCGTAAGTTTCTTTTTCTAAGTTTTGACTTTAGATGATAAGCATACTGGGTCTAAAGTTTATACGGAAAGTTAGAGTCCCAAAATAACCAAGACAATTGTTTAAAAGAACAGAACTAAAAAGACCTATTGAGAATTATTTTGAAGCTGTCGTAATTCAAACAATGGGTTATTGATGCAAGGGTAGATAAGGAGGTCAGTCGAGCAGAATCAGGAGTCCAGATGCAGATCATAGCCTACTTGGGCACTTCTAGGATCAAGGGACTATTAGAAATCAGTGCAGAAAAAGATGAACTTCAGTGAATGGTGTTGGGAAATTTGACTTCTTATAGAGGAAAACTCAAGCCAAAAATCTATCTCACATAATCCTGAACAGATTAAAAATTTTTTCCAATTGATATGAACTGATACCTCCTCATTTTAGCTTGCATTTCCCTGATTACTAACAGAGATGAGCAACGTCTTATAGATGCATTAGACATGTAGGGTTCTCCTTCTGTGAACTTCCCATTTGTTTCTTTTGGCATTTTTCTATTGGGTTGTTTGTTGTTTTTGTGTTTATTTACAAGAATGTGGGTTTTTTTAGAAACCCATTTTGAATATGACTCTTCAGTGATTATATGTATTCTATATATATATATATGTATATATATACATATTCTAGTTGTTACTTGTTTTCTAACATTGTTTATGATGGCTTTTCTTGATGAGAATCTGATGTCAAATTTATCCATCTTTTCCTTTAAAATGTCTGTATTTTGAGTCTATAGAAAAATCCTACCTGAAGGTTATAAAGATATCCTTCTTTATTTTTGTCTATTAGAGTTTTTTTCATACTTAGATCCTTTCACATTAGAACTGGAATTGGTTTTCTGGGTATGGTTTCAAGTGAGGATCACATCTTTGCCTTTCTTTTTTCCTACACAGAAAACTTTGAGCACACTGTTTTTAATTACTAGCTTGGGAAAGGAAATGGATTGTTGGTCTCACCAAACTCTCCTCTGCTCTGAAACCTTCAGTAGCTCCTCAATGCAGTATAGATGGCATGTATTGCTGTAGCACTATGGTTCCCTGTAACAGGGTCCTTCTAGTCCTAGAAGTTTCTTAACTTCTTTTATTCCCCCAACTTATACCTTTTGCTCCAGAAAAGTTGGAATAGTCATTATTCCAAAGCTATCCCCTGACTTTCTCCAAAGAGAGGCTTTCCTCATTTTTGTGTTGTGACTACTTTCTCTACACGACTCCCACAAGTAGCAACCATAATTCTGTCCATTCTTCAGACTCCTGACCAGTAATATCAGAGACATTTATTCTGACTGTCACTGTTCACACATGCTGAGCCTTTCTTATAATTCTCTTTTAAAAAAATATTTATTCATTCAGTAAGACAAATGGAAAGAGGCAGAGACGTAGGCAGAGGGAGAATCAGGCTCTCTGTGGGGAGCCTGATGTGTTACTCAATCCCAGGACCCCTGGATCAGGCCCTGAGCCCAAGGCAGATACTCAACCACTGAGCCACCCAGGTGCCCCTCTTGTAATTCTCAAAAGGACTATAGTGAGGAAGTTGAGAGTATGGGCATTGAACCCTGGTCCACCATTTGTGTGGTTTGACTTTGTTAGGCAGGTCATTCGATCTCCTAATACCTCACAGTAACACGGGGATGATAATAGAACCTACTTCAAAGGATTGCTATGGTGTTCCCTTGAATTTGCCCATGGTGAGCCTTCAGAACAGTGTCTAGAACATGATAAACATTCAACAAATAGTAAGCAGATGAGTCACGAAGTAGGTCTGCAAATCCACATGGGGACCCTCCTGGAGCTTTGGCCAAATACTCAGGGCTCATATGCAGGACAAGATGTCATGAAGTCTATCACAGCCTGGTTACTGGGGGTGGTGAGCCACTGGGTGTGGCACAGTGCTGAGGGAGATGGGAGCTCTAACCAGCCAGACTGGGGACTGCTGGACAGCCAGGCATTCAGTGGGCTGCAGTGGTACGGCTGCTTGACCCCAGAGTGGGGGCTACTTCAACTCACCCTACCTAAGCAACACCAAGCCTTGACAGGGTCAGATTGAGTTTCCTGTCAGTGAAATGCCTCCTGGAACAAAACTCAATACTTTTTAAAGGAAAAACAGCCCAGAGAGGATTCTGGGAAGGTGGCAGGTGGGAAGTGCCAGGAAGCTGTCTCCCCTTGTAAGACATCAACTGCACTGGTAGAAGGTGTCTGATGGCACTGTTTTGGAACTGCAGTCTATTGAAGACTTGTAACTTCCAGTGGAAGTCTCGGATAGCACATTGGGTTAATTTCAGCTCTTAGCATAATAGTGGCTCTCCATCTCCCCCCTCCCAGCCACATGGCAGGCAACCGTGCCAGTGTTCCCAGAGCAGCTTACACACAGCTTACAGGAGTCAGCATGGGCAAAAAGAGGCTTTTGTCCTCCAGATATCAGAGATGTGTGCTCTGACAGCAGACTGCTGCTTCTAATCCTAGACATGCAGACCCAGAGGCAGGTGGCCATTGTGGCATCTCCGGTTGTTGGGATCCCTTCCCATCCAAGCCCTCAGGAGGACTTGCAGCAGACTTCTCATCAGATACTTTGCAGCCAGAGGGCAGTCAGTAGATATATTTAAAGTGCTAAAGGGGAAAAAAAAAAAACCCATGTCAACCAAGAATCCTATATCCAGCAAAACTATGCTTCAAAAGCAAGGGAGAAACTAAGACATTCTTAGATAATCAAAAGGTGAAGGACTTTGTTGTGTGAGAAATAAATGCTCGAGGGAGCCCTGCAGGGTGAAGTTAGTATAGGTGAAGCTAGTATTATTTAACAGTGCTATGTACTTCCACCTTTGTTTTCCATGTGACTTAAGAGACTAATATATTTTTAAAAACTATTTGTCTCTTATTATTGCTGTTACTTTGGTTTGTAATGCCACACTCTGTTTATTTTTTAAGATTTTATTTATTTATTCATGACAGACACACAGAGAGGGAGAGAGAGGCAGATACACAGGCAGAGGGAGAAGCAGGCTCCATGCCGGGAGCCGGACATGGGACTTGATCCCGGGTCTCCAGGATTAGGCCCTGGGCTGAAGACAGCACCAAACCGCTGAGCCACCCAGGCTGCCCACCACACTGTTTTTGACCTAATTTTAAAAGACTATTGCATTTAAAAGAATGACTAGTTTGTGATTTTGGTCACACCAGTGTAGAAAGGTATAATTCTGCAAACTTGGCATTGCAAAGAGATGAGGCTGGCACTATGAAGGAGCAGTTTTGTTTGCTGTTGAAGTTAAGATGATATAAATTAAAATTAGAGTGCTATACCTTGAGGATATGAAATTTAATCCCCTTGGTAAGCACAAAGAAAACAGAATATATATAAAAAGAAATGAGAATCAAAATTTAACATTTCATCACAAAATTCAGCTAAATACAAAAGAATGGGACACCTGGGTGACTCAGTTGGTTTAACAGCTGACTCTTGATTTTGGCTCAGGTCATGATCTCAGGGTGTGGGATCAAGCCCTGCATAGGGTTCTGTGCTCAGTGGGGAGTCTGCTTGAAATTCTCTCCCTCTCCTTCTGCTCCTTCCCCCTATTCATGAGAACGCTCAAGGTCAGTGTCTCTCTCAAATAAATAAATAAATCTTTCAAAGGTGAATAAATACAGAAGAATGAATACAGTACTGAAGTAAATGAGAGACACCAAACCTAGAAGGTGTACAGAAACAAATAACAAATGACGGAAACAAATCCTTCCTTATCAATAATTACTTCCAATGTAAATGATCTAGACTCTCCAGTTAAGAGGCAGACATTGTCAGAATGGATAAAAACACAGGATCCAACGGTTACCAGAATCAGTAATCACTGCCATCACTAAAGCTGCCGGAGGAGGGATGCTTGGGTGGCTCAGCGGTTGAGCCTCTGCCTTCGGCTCAGGGTGTGATCCTGGAGTCCCAGGATTGAGTCCCACATTGGGCTCCCTGCATGGAGCCTGCTTCTCCCTCTGCCTGTGTCTCTGCCTCTCTCTCTGTGTGTCTCTCATGAATAAATAAATAAAGATATTTAAAAAAAAAAAAGCTGCCAGAGGTGCCAGAAAGGGCAGTGTTAGGACCTCACTGGAGGGGTCGGTCTAGAACAGGATTTCAGGGGATAAGCAGAATGCAGGTAGAGAGTCCCCACAAGGGAACAGTAAAAGGTGAGGCATATACTTTCTAGTTCCACTTTTTTTTTTTTTTTTGGTGGGTTGGAGGAGGTGATAGGTGTAGGGAAGACAAGCTGGCCCAGGACCTCGGCATCCAGGCAGATTAGAGAATCTGCCACCTGTGGAACCTCAACAGCGCAGCCTCTGGTTCACCAAATGGCAGGTCATGAGCGATGTGGATGCTAGGCATAGGGCATGAAGAAAGCAAGGGAGCTTCACACCCCCAGCAACATTCCAGAGGATTATAGCCAAAGACCATGTAAACCAGAAGCTGTCATTGTTCCCTGTCAGGGGAGGCCTCCAAGCCCTGTCAACCCCAAATCTAGTGGGAAGCAGGGTAAAGAAAATGCTGATGTATGATTCTCCTCCTGAGCCCCTGTCTCCTTCCCCTCACCCCCTTCCTGAGCTATCACTTTGTTCCGTCTGTGTTTGGCCACTAGGTACGTAAAGACCTATCTGCTGCCTGACAGATCCTCCCAGGGAAAACGCAAGACTGGAATCCAAAAGAACACAGTGGACCCAACCTTTCAGGAGACCTTGAAGGTACTTGCTGGACAAATACCCATGTGCTAAGTCTCCCTATCCCAGGCTGGGCACACAGGGCCAGAGTTCAGCACAATGTTCTTCCAAAGTCTTGAGTCAGTTAAATATAAGTACAGACACTTATACGTTTCTGTAGGGCTCTGTCAATCAGTGGCAAGTTGGTGGAAAATAAATGTCAGTCTTTGTACAGGAAAAGTGCAGAGTCTGCCAGACTTGAGAATGGCTTTTGATTAATGATTTCTGAGAAAATGGTGAAAAAGGACCTGGCTGCCTCTCAATCTCTAAAATTGGTTTGTCCTGTTGAATTTTTACGACCCTCAGAGAGGTACTCTCAAGCAGACCACCCTGAACTACTGAGTTACTACTTTCATGAAAGTGCTGCTTTATTGTAATCATCTGGCACACCTAGGTTTCTTCTTATTTTATGAGAAAAGTAGTCCTCTTTATTTTGTGAAGATTTTATTTGTTTGAGATGAGACGGCACGAGTGTGCACATGTACAGGGGGAGGGGCAGAGGCAGAGGGAGAAGCAAGCTCCCTGCTGAGCAGGGGACCCCATGCTGGGCTTGGGATCACAGGACCCTAGGATCACAACCTGAGCTAAAGGCAGATGCCTAACTGACTGAGCCACCCCGGCACCCCTGAAAGAAAAGTAGTCATCTTATGAAAAACATTTTGTAGAGGAATTGTTTGGTTTTTCACTTTCTTTGGTGCTAAGAAATATGATTTGTGATATGGGGCAGAGATAGGGAGGGACTATGGCAATTTAGGGTGGACAGTTGGAGACAATGTCTGGCAGAGATGTAGGAGGCTGCATGCTGGAAGAACAGTCCAGATGCACAGGGACGTACCCAGTCAAGGCTGGTTAGCCCAGGGATTCCATGTATCAAGTCTGCACAAGGAGAGGGCTTGGTTTGCCTTCCTTGGCAAGTAGGGGTATTTCTGAACTCCCAGTCAGGGACTGTCTGGCCATCTGGCAGGAGTCCCATTGGTTAATAATAAAAGCCATTGTTTTCTGTGTCTCTGCTGTGGCCAAGTGCTTTAAATACCCCTGAGCTAGGTATTAGAATCTTTGCTTACCAACAAGGAAACTGAGGCTTATGGTGTAATCAGAATTACAGGTCCAACTCACGGTGGACTAGCGGTCCTTCACCAGATTTATGGTCATAGGACTTCCCTCAAAGGATTTTTCAAAAAAAAAAAAATATACTATGATTCAGCGATTCCCAGGGCATCGCTGTCAGAGACCCCTCTGGTAGCAAGTCAGTAGACCCTGGTCGTGGTGTGGTTTTGCTCACGTACCTGCTGAAAGAGCTTTAAAAAGCTATGTGTCCCCTCTCACATTTTAAGTTATATCTAAAATCACCCGTTGTAAGTTGAATGAAGGTGTTGTGTACTAAACAGGTAAACAAATAGTTCACATTTTATGAAATGAGATGAAGGAGAGGATTGAGTTTGTTTTAGATATTATTCAGTTTGATTTTTAAAGTTTTAACCACTTTATTTAAAATACATGCAGAATCTCAAGGAAATCTCCTAAACTTTTAATTCATTGATTTTACCCAATATCTTGTGGATTTTTAGGTTGTTCTGGGACACTCTCCAGGTACATTGAAGAGAATCCATGTCTCTCATTTATTCTAAAGTCTAGATACCAATCCTCAAGATTTTCTAAGCAGAGCACTCCATGGGAAGCCTTCCTGCACTCCAAGGGGGTGCTGGCACCCCCCTCGAAGGCCCCTTAGGAGGCCTCGGAAGGAGGAAACCCAACACTTGACCTGGAGACTTTGGGTGCTTCCATATAGCTGTTGTCTGTGTTCCTGGGGCTGGGTAGCGAGCCCACGGCCTGCAGGGACTGCCTTGTGGGCATAACAGGGTGATGGGGGAAAGGTCTGCTTAAAAGGCAGTTCACTCAATCAAAAGGAATAGCCCTGTTTGTCAGAGGAGGGCCACTTGTGTGTGAGGACCCCTGAGAAGCAGGGCTGCCCCATACATGGGGTGGATGGAGATCACACAGCTGCCACAGGAGGGCGGGCGTGGGGGCCGGGCAGCTGCCCTCCCGGGGACAGCTTGTTCTCCGAGGGAGCAGGTGCAGTGCCAGGAGCTGTCAGCCTGGGCAACAGGGTGGAGGGAACAACCGGGTGAGTTTTGAGTTTAAAGACAGACTAAGGAATGCAGGGCAGAGTCAGAAAGGGCCACGGATGCCTGGCTGGCTCAGAGGGTAGAGCGCAGAAATTTGATCTCAGGGTTGTGAGTTTGAGCTCCATGTTGGGTATAGAGATTACTTTAAAAAAATCTTTTTAAGAAAAAGATTAGGGATACCTGGGTGGCTCAGTGGTTGAGCATCTGCCTTTGGCTCAGGAAGTGATCCCAGGGTCCTGGGATCAAGTCCCCCATCGGGCCCTCTGCAGGGAGCCTGCTTCTCCCTCTGCCTATGTCTCTGCCTCTCTCTCTCTGTGTCTCTTATGAATAAATAAATAAACATTTTTTAAAAAGAAAGAAAAAGACTGAAAAAAAAAAAGAAATGGGCAATGGACTTCAGGGAAACCCACTAAAAATCAGGCCAAGGCGATAGAGGGATGTGGTTTCTGAGCACAATGGGTACAGATAATCCCAGAGGGAAGAAGAGGAGGGGCAGGTGGGGAAGGCAGCCTGGCCACCCAGGGTTTGCTGGCCTGGGTGGTGGTGGGGGGGTGTAGCAGGGCAGACAGGGCTGTTTGGGAGACCGAGGGAGACAGGTTACAGCTTCTCCACACACCTATCTCTTCCCCCTCGTCCATCAGCTGGAAGGGCACTAACCTAACAGCGCTCAGTGAGGTTCACGCAAACCAATGCAGCCGTTCTGAGTGGGTGCGAGGTTCTCAGCCTGCAGTGTGACAGGCAGGTACCTGGAGGAGCCAGGACGCAGTGCCCCAGGAGAGCTACAAGCTCTGAGCCTGGTGTTTCCCCTGCAAACTGGTGATTGCTCACACTGCCCTCTGGGGATGCTTCTGGAAGCTAAGGAGCAATGTAACTAAAAGCCTGGTACAAAACAAGGGCTCAGTAAAGTGTAACTTTTGTTCATTGTTGAGAAAATCCAAGGAACAACTTGGAACAGGCTCTTGGGAAGCCTGGCTGAGATGCTGGCCTTTGGGGTGGGGGGCACTCTCACTTGGGGCCTTTGGCCTCTAGTCCTCCTCAGCTGGAGGGAGATGGGGACCAGCTTTCTTGTTTCTCTGGCTATGCTGAGGCTCCTGGGGTGGGGGAGGGTGTCGTGCAGGGATGGTGAAGAAACAGCTCCCTGTGACCCTGAGCGTAGGCCCAGGCCCCGCATGCCCTCCAAGGGCCTTGTCCTTCTAGGCAAATAAATGCCCACACTAATAACTCATGTTTTACATTAAACAAAACAAAAAAAATCCTAGCTTTCAGTATTTTTGGACAACCCTGGCCAGGCAAGTTCAGATCCTGAGGAGGGACAGATCTTGGCCCCAGCTGGTTGAGGACTTTCATCCTTGCCTTGGGGACAGATCTTGACTGTGGGAGGGGACTTTGCCCCTGCCCACCCTTTCCCCCTAGCCAGGCTAGTGGAGAGGTTGTTCTGAGTTGGAGAACGCAGGGACCGCCCACCCACCCCTCCAATTGGCTCAGCTCGCCCTGACCACACCAAGACGCTGTCACCAGCCTGCAGGAGGAAGGCTCCGAGTGGGTCCGGTGGGGAGGGGGCTGTGGGTTCCCAGAGGCTGTGGGTGCAGGGGGCCGTGGGCCAGGGACCCAGACTCACTGGCGCTGCTCTGCCTTTGCAGTACCAGGTGGAGCCTGCCCAGCTGGCGACACGGTGGCTGCAGGTCTCTGTATGGCACCTGGGCACTCTCACCCGGAGGGTGTTTCTTGGAGAGGTGACCATCCCTCTGGCCACATGGGACTTTGAAGATAGCACGACACAGTGTTTCTGCTGGTATCCGCTGAGGGCCAAGGTGACTGCACTACCCCACCCCCACCGTGAAAACAAAACTCACTTTTCAAAGGGATTGGAGCCAAGACAACCTACCAGGGGAGCCTTGGCCCCGGGACACAGCGTGCTTGCCTGGCTGGGACTCCCCAGTGGGCAGGCTGGGCCAGCTAGGGGAGCGGCAGGGCGCTGGGAGGCCAGGGCGAGGGGCGGCTGATTGAGGGCCTGTGAGTCACAGGCGCAGGGGAGGGGAGAGCCTGGGGGGAAAGTTCGCATTTCTTGGGGCAAAGTGCTTTGTGCTTTCTGTGCCAAGATCCAAGATTGGGAGAGAGGACGTGTGCGGTAGTGGGGGAAGCGTGGGCTCCGTCATTCCCTAGAAATGACAAATGTCTCTGATCTCCCGCTACTGTCTCCTCCTGGAAGCCCTCCTGGCCCCCCTCTCCTGCCACCTTCCCTCTAGGTTCCTCTGCACGGCCTCCGCATCCATACCCTGCACCCTGTGCTCCCCCTTCTCAAGCCTAGTCTGTCCTCACTCGTCACTTGGGATGTCGGCTGTGAACACTTTCTTCTATCCAAGTTCCCCCCAAGACTTAGCAGAGACCCCACCTCCTCCATGAGGGCTTTTCTGGTTTTCCTTCTTCATGATTTTCCCTGACAGATGTACTTTCCCCCAGGATCCTGTACTTGGGTGCCCTGCCCATCTTCTCCCTGTAGGACCCCCTGCTTAGCTCAAGACTAGCTGCTGCCGAGGCTGGTGGCAAGAGGAAGAGGAGCAGAGGTGCCAGGCTATAAGACATCTTCCTAACACCAGCTAGTAGACAGTGACCACCCCTCCCACCAACACCCGGATGGGAGCCTCCTGCTTACAGGCCTGCCCTTTTGGTGACAGGAGGGGCCCAGGGGGTTAGCACAGGTTTTCCAGAAGCTGAGGGTAGAGGCAGCTTTATCTCCTCTGAGTGCCAGCCTCCTTCCTGGGAGGCAGCAGGGAGACCAAGAAGAGACACGATGGTGTAGACAGGGGCCAGCCGCACCCTCTTCTGGGGCTTCTTGATGAGTCCACTGACCTGGAGGGGCTCAATTTTATTTTACTTTCTTCAGACTTGGGCTGTGTGCAGGTTTTCTCAGGACCATCCTATGGGAATGTGCCAGGGCCTTTGAGCCCCCCCACTGGCCCAAGCAGCCGAGTGGGCAGCTGGGGTGGGAATGGAGTCACCACAAATGGAAGACAGGCCAGTCCTGCCATGGGCATGTCCACTCCACCCCAGGCTACTCCCCAGCCTGCAGAGGCTTTGCAGGGGTGAATGGGTGGATTGGGTTGGGGAATGGGGCAATCAGAGGAGCCCAGAAGGTTCTGGAGGCTGAGGAATCTTGCCTCTGAGTTCTGTCTCTTGCCCCCAGGCAGAGAAAGTAGATGACGGCATTCTTCCGAATAATGGAGAACTAGCAGTCCGGGCCAAACTGGTCTTCCCTGCAGGGCCCAGAAAGTTCCAGGAGGCCCTAGAAGGTAGGTGGCCTCCAGTCCTGAGAATGTGCATCTGTTATTATGTCACTGTCTCCAAAGCCTCGAGCAGCAGGTGGGCTGAGCATTCCCTTTCTGCAACCCACTAATGCTGCAACACTCCAGCAACTTTCCAAGATCTGTTGACACTCAGCCTGGACAGTGGGTTCGTAGAACATATGGTCTATAAGGGATATGAGGGACCCAAGCAGGCCAGGCCTTTGGTGCCCACTTTGCAGGGCTCTTAGGACACCAGTTCTGGGGCTTTCCTCCTGGGTGGGTGGGGGGAGGGGGCGCAGCTTGGACTGCCTCTCTGGAGCAAACCCTTCCGCTGCCACCCCTCTGGAAGAGGGTGCTCCCATGGCCACCAGTGTTAGTTGGGAGTGTGGCTCAAGAGTGCACCTCATAGCCCTGGGGCCTGCAGGGCTCTGAGTGAGTGCATCTTTGATCCCAGGTTACATGAGCTGTTGCCCAGCAAGAGAAGGGATCAAGGACAGGCTCTCAGGGACTTTATGGAACATTTCATAAGGTTAAATACAATGGAGTGTATGGAGGAGATGAAGGTGAAGAAAGCACACACAATTCCATGATGTGTTTAGTGATCTCTTGTTTGCTTGGAAAAGGAAAAGTTTCCTGCCAGAGCTCACGGGGCCACCAGCAGGCCAGCAGCCTCTGTGGTCACTGCCACTCCCTAATACAGAGGTCTTGGGGCCCCTACTTTGCCAAAAACCATCCTTGCACTAGACTAGAACCTCTATCCTTCCTCTTCTTGGATCCCTTATTATCTCTGCAGCTTCCCAGGATTCTAGTGACCCCTCCATTCTGTCACCACACTGGCCTTGTTGTGGGACAGCACGTGAGCAGGGCCAGCAGAGCCTCCCCAAAGCGGATACATTCCTCTTCCTCTCTGTCTTACAGCTCAGAGCTGTACCACACCCTCTCTGAGCTCTCACTTTTAGGGTGGTGGCATTGCATGCATGCCATGTGCAGATGTAGAGCTCGCAGCAAATGCCAGCTTTCCTTCCAGGGACAGATTGGCCATCCCCCAACGGTCAGCTTTGTTTGGTCGTGCTGGGAGCCAAGAATTTGCCTGTGCGGTCAGATGGTACCCTCAACTCCTTTGTTAAGGGGTAAGTATTCTATTCAATCAACTATTTACTGATAAACTGTATATATGTAGCATTCCACCTTATATAAAGTATAGCGAGCATAAGCCATATCAAACTTGTATTTTAGCTTTCCTATGAAAATCCCACATAATGGGTTAAAGACTCCAATTTTCAAGAATTCATGGGAGTTGGACCTGCCAAGGCTAGATTTGGAACACTGCATTTTAACCCGAAACCCAGATCTTATCGGTCCTTGTTATTACATCAGCATTTTCTGACTCAGAGCTCAGAGCAGCGTGGTTGGTACATATGTCCTTGCCTTAGCATCTCCTCCTGGATTAACAGGAAGACGGACTCCACTTATTCCATTCTTATTGGCTACATGTGTGTTCATCTCCAGACGTAAAGCAAGTATCATTAATTATTACACAGAATTGCCGTGTCCTCCGTCAGTGACATAATGAGAAATGATGGCTTACTATGCCAAGCTCTGAGTTCCTGTCCTCATGCCGCCACTTATCAGAGGGCCTTGGGCAAGTCCTGTGGCCCTTCTGAACTTATTTCCTGAGAACAGAGTTAAAATGAGAGATGTGTGTTCAGAGTCCTGGTCCCTGGGTAGCAGGTGTAAGCTATGTGTTGCCTGGTGGTCGGCATCCCAAGGAGGGCGATTAAGACAAGAACATTGTCCGGACCACCATGATCTAGAATCCCAAATGACCCTTAACATCTGGGGCGGAATTTAGCCCTAAATCCGAAACATCCTTGCCAGAGGTCACATGGCCAATCTGGCGATTTGCATTCTCCCTCCGGGCTTGGGATTTTTCTTTTGAATGTAGCCCTGGGTCTCACCGATGGCAAGCGCTGCCAGGGGAGGGTGCCGGGCTGGGCACTCGAAGACTGTGGTCTGTCTCCCTCCTGCAGCTGTCTCACTCTGCCAGACCAACACAAACTGAAGCTAAAGTCCCCAGTGGCGAAGAAGCAGGCTTGTCCCCGGTGGCAGCACTCCTTCGTGTTCAATGGCGTGAGCCCTTCCCAGCTGAGACAGTCAAGCCTGGAATTAACCGTCTGGGACCAGGCCATCTTTGGTGTGAGCGACCGCCTGCTGGGGGAAGCCAGGCTGGGTTCTAGTAAGTCTGAGATACTTCGTGGGCCCAAGTAGCATGGTTTATACTCCACGAGTATCTTTCGTGGTGGTGGACACAGAAAGGACTTAAGGCTTCCGTGACGGCTGGTGATTTAACTGGTGTGGAAATGGCCTAACTTGCCGTAAATAGGAGATTGCCACATCTAGCTCTTGCTCTACAATTGAGCAGTAATACGGCCAAGTATTTAAACAATTTAGATCAGATTTAGATCTGCTAAAGAAACAAAAACTACAGGCCTCAGAATGGGCCAGGTACAGTATTTGCTTTTGTTTCTGGTGTCAATCATAAAAGGATTAATTTCTTAAAGGAAAATAGCTTCTTAATCCAAACACATGGCAATTCAGAAAGTATTTCAGTAAGAGTGGGACAGAGGGACACTGCCTTTTCAGCACTGCTCAACTGGGTGCTGCTGGCCTTGTGTAGGGGACAGCCTTCTGTGGGGAGGGCCTGCCCACTAGGGGTGCCCCTCAAATACTGTGCTAACCAGAAAGACCCACACACATCTCCAGAACCTCCAACTGTGAGAACCTCTGAACAGTGTCCAGGGGCACCTGGGAGGGCTCATGTGCTTGAGCGTCCAACTCTTGATTTCAGCTCAGGTCATGATGTCAGGCTCTCTGCTCAGCAGGAGTCTGCTTGTTGCCCTCTCCCTCTGCCCTCCCTTCATTCTCAAATAGAAGAAATACTGTCCAAGGCACAACACAACCCCCCTTTCTATAACAGATTTGTCTGCAAACCTGGCCCTAGGTCTCAGACCACCCTACCAATCCATAGCCACTGTAATGTGTTAAGATCGTCCAGTCCCCTTGAAGAGCCAACCCACAAGATAGGTCTTCTCCTTTCAACCTATATGAAAGGCAGCAGCTTTGTACTCTTGAGGCTACACAGTATTTAGGAATGAATGCCTGCTGTGTACTGTTGTGAGCATGGCGTTGGGGTGGAAGGTCTTGCTCATCCTCATCAGTGGTTGGCATTTTCGAATGGTCCTAAGCCAAGGTTAAAAACACTTTTAAACAGTTGGTCATTTTAAAAAGAAGAGGGTGGGTAAGGTGGCCCGCACATCACCCATCACACTAATTTGTCACTTCACTCCCATCATCACAGAGGAAAACGTAGCTGGTGGCAGGGACATGTGCTCACAGTCCGAGCTCCAGTGGCAGAAAGTTCTTTCTAGCCCCAATCTGTGGACAGACATGACACTCGTCCTGCACTGAAGCCAGAGTTCCAGTCTGCAGCAAGAAGGTTGGCTGAAGGCATGGACGTGGACACATGGCTGCAGGCCCTGTGGAGCATGGACACTCACTGTCTGCAGCTCTGGCACGGGGCACAGACCCTCTTCCATAGCCCTGTCTGTATTTATGTTAAATAAGACTGTCTGGTTTCTGTGCTTTGAATAAAGGTTTGTTACCTCTGTCCTCCTGTGCTTATCAAATAGCGAAAATTATGGCCTTGTTCTATGCATTTGAAGGAGAACTACTGGTAGGTATTTGGTCCCTCTTGTTCTGCTTGCTGGAGGGACTCCCATTTTGGGTTGGTCAGCACCCAGGATCCCACGGAGCACTGCCCCCCCCCAGCTGTATAGAGTCAGAGGGGCCCTCCCGCCCCAATACGCAAGGACACACCCACTGCCACCTCTTGCCTTGCACATCTTTTATTTCTCAAATCTGTGGTGTGGGGTTCATCTGAACACAGCTCTTACCCAAAAAGGACACAGCTGAGCATGAAGAGTGAGCCGAGTGAGAGCTGACATTTCAGCAGGTTCGCAGGGATGAGGGAGACAAGTGGCTAGGTCAGAATGGGTTCTTCTTGTGGAGACAACACCAGGTTGGAAGAGTCCCTTCATAGCTGGAGTCTGAATTATCCACACAGCATGTGTATATTTTGCAAATAAGCTCAGATAGGAAACTGAAATGTGCACAATTACATGCACACAGAACACTCAAAGACAAGTCATTTTTACAGATGTGATTACAGCAGTTAATCCCCCTCATTACCACTTCAGGTCACATCAGATCAAGTGCCATGGTTACATGGTTTTTAATACGTAATTCTTTTATTCTGTAAAAGGTAACAAAATATACAGAATGAAACTTTCCCTTTTTTAAACTAATGTTACAAACCCATATTGTCACATATATAAATACTATTCTCTACGGCTGATCATTAATTAGGTGTGAGTCCAACAATGTAGCCCTCTAACTGTTAAGCAAATGAACAAAAAACCCAAAAAGCCAACAAGTTTGTCCAAGGCTGGAGTGTCCTCCGTGTACAAAGGAACACAAGAAAAATCACCACGTGTGCATGTGTGTGAGTGCTTTAGAGTCTGTTTTCAAAATTTTCACCTCTCAAAAAACAAATATACAAAGGAATTCTTCCTAGAAATCAAAAAATCAATTTGAGCTAATTCCAAACAAAGTAGTATGGCACGGAGTCTAAGCCACGGTGTGGTTTAAACACACTGCATATCTCGCATCACACATGTCAGCATGGGGTTTGTTAACTCAGACTTGACAGCATCTTCCCTACTTCAGTCCATCCTGCTGCAAGCACAGAACAGGAAGTGATTGACAAGTGATAATAAAATCAGGCCTGTTTGGCACTATGATACAATTGGGAAAAAGAAACCATGGAAGCGCCCATCGATCCCAGCGCCAGAACATTCCCACTGAAACACAACTACTGTCTTGTTAAAGGACCTGGAACACGACGGGGGAGGAGGGGGGGTTCCCTAGATTTACAAAACTACCCATACCGGCTCCAGAGCCTGACAGCGAGCCCCTGCACCCTGGCCTTACAGGGCCTCGAACTCATCGATCCGCTGCTTGGTGTTCCCCTGACGGATCTGCCGTAGCGTCTTGTACTTGTCCCGACCTTGCCTCATATTCTCATTGTGGATGATGTCATTGTGGGTCCTCTTGTTCTCATCTCTGGCCTGGGACAGCTCACTGGTCAGGGTCTGCAAGCGGAGGTGGCAAAGTTCAGGGGGACCCAGGAGCAGCGGGAGCTGGGGGAAATGGTTTCCCCCCACCCCACCCTGTCTACACCCCCACTGCCCCCTCACCATCAGCTGCCGCTGCACCCGCTCATTCTTCTCAGCCTCGGTGATCCGCTTCTCCTCGTTGCGGTCATCCAAGATGCCCTCGCTGGACAGCTCAGCGCTGTAGCCCGTGTACTCCGTGCCCTCCTCCTGCAGGTTGTCTTGCACGTGGTAGCTCACTGGCTCATAGACGGGGGGCGGTGGGGGTGGAGGGGCAGTCATCACCAGGTGCAGCTCCTCCTTGGTCTTTACCAGGTCATCCTGGGCTTCCTTGGCCTTGGAAAGCAACCAGTACAGAGGTGACAACTTGTCACACAGAGCAGAGCGCGCATAAACCATTTTTGGAAGAATCCCCTTTTCTGTAAGTGAAGGCTTCTGCACCTTCTCTCACCACTCCTCTCACCTCCCCTGGTGGGCTGGGTACTAGGGTCCAAACAGCCCAGAGCGGAGGCCAGTGGTGGGGAGGGCATGGCTGGGGACAAGCAACCCCGTGCAGGGCCTGCCCAGCCTCTTCCAAGTCTGGGGCTCTGGATCCTGGGAGTGGTTCTCAATCGTGCCCATGGCACCAAGAGAAAAACTCATGCCAGGCTTTTTTTTTTTTTTAAGAACCAGAATTTCTTTTGGTCTCAAATTCTAATATATATTCATTGTATTAATTTTGAAACAAACCAAAATCCTCTAGCCTCTGGAAAATGCCACCATCACATTGCAGAGTGCAGTTTTATCCTCTTCCCTTGTGTGGCCACTATTTATGACGCTCCTCACTGCCTGTGGGCACTGTGCTCAAGGACCCTCCTACCTGCTGTTACCCCTAAATCTTCCAGTAACCTCTCCTAGGTACACATCCCCAATCATGCCCACCTCATTACCACTCCATCCCTGGAGGTGAGCTTAGTTTGAACCTCTTCTGCAACCAGCTTTTTCTCACTCCATACTTTATAATGAACACTTTCTCTGAAAACCTAAGGATCCAACTTGCATGGGGGTGGGGCGGGGGGATGGAGCTTAAGAGGAGATGTGAGGGAGGAACCAGGTGTCCCCAGAAGGAGCCACTACAGATGGAGAAGCACAGGTAAGGACAGTGGGGTGGGGCAGGTGGCTGCCACAGCTTGGTAGATGTCTACACTGAATATATCCAAAGCTCCCCTGGGGATCATTTTTCCTGGCAGGCATGGGGGGCTCAGCTGGAGAGGCAGGCTCTCTGGACACTGCAGTGGAATGTGGTTCTTCCTATTACAGCTGCAATTTTTAAACCTCTCTGCGGGGTGGTCCTCGGAGCAACCTTACAGGCTGGCTATTACTCCCTATCTGCAGTAAGGAAACGGAGGCGTGGAGAGGTCAGGCCACGTGCCCCATCACACACTGCGTAAGAGCAGAGCTGCGACCCTTGCCCTGTTTTGGGACCTCCAAGTCCAAATCTTTCCATGGTGACATGGTGTATGCACCAGCGGTTAGGAGAGACAGGAGGTCTAGTTTCAGGCCCTGTGGCCTGTTGCTAGGGGCACCCACATGACCAGATTTAGAGCTAGTCCTGATGGGGGCTGCCTGATGGGGCTGAACAGTTTGAGATGACCAGAGCAGAGGGGTGGAAGTGAACAAGAGGCCCCTTGTTCCCTGCTAATCCAACAGCGGCCTCCCCAGTGCACAGGGCAAGCCCATTCCTACGGGGATTCTGGCCTAAGAAGCCCGACTGGGACTGGTAAAGCATCGCAAAACATCCTGAGGCTCGCTACGCCACCCAACAGCCTGGCCCTGGCCGCCTTCTGGCCGCGTGCCCCCACAAGGACTCTGGCCTGCAGACTCACCCGGTGCTGCCACTCCTCGACCTCGTCCTCCTTGCGCCGCCGCGCCTCCTCCAAGAGGGCGATCTTGGCTGTGTACTCTGCTAGTTCTGCGGCCTAGTGAAGCACACGAAGCTCAAATTATTTCTGGGGCCTTTTGGGAGAGCCCTTTTGCAAATGGACAGCCACACAGTTTCGTGACTGGCCTCGTTCCCCCACCCTCCTCCCCAGCCGGCAGTGCCCCCTGCTGCCCACCGTGTCCTCAAGGCCATGCCTCACCCAGACCACCACGTCCAGCTCCCCAGATGCCTGCAGCAGGGCCGTGGAGGCCCAAACAGCAGCACAGCCCCTCCCACCAGGCTTTACTCTCTCAAGCAGATCGTTTTACAGCCCCAGACACAATCATAAGGCAGGTGTCACTCCTGCATCCCCAGAGGCAGCCTCTCCATAATTCAGCATCATGAAAACTCAGGGAGCTCCTACCAGCTGCTCCTGGCTCTTTATCTGATCTGCTGCCTGCCTCTCCAGCTCCTCCTTGGCCCGCAGGGCAGCCACGCGGTCAGCCTCCAGACGCTCTGCCTCCTCCTGGGCACGCTTCCTCTCCTCCTCCAGCTGCAGGGCTCTCTGAATCTGGTCTGACAGTTCTGGAGAGAACACAAGGGGAAAAATAAACCATGGAAGCGCCCATTGATCCCATTGCCAGAACATTCCCAATGAAACAACTACGGTCTTGTTAAAGGACCTGGAACACGATGGGGAGGAGGGGGGGTTCCCTAGATTTACACAACTACCCACACTGGCTCCAGAGCCTGACAGCAACACCCCAGCCTTACAGGGCCTTGAACTCGTCGATCCCTTGCTTGGTGTTGGCGGACACGCAGAAACTGCACCACTCGCCAAGTTTTTGGTTTGTAAGACGGGGCAATGTACCATGGTTTGGGCACTCACTAGCCACGTGACCTGGGGCAAATTACTTTACCTGCTAGCCCTTAACACTGTCATCAGGAAAATGGGGAGGACTCAGTATTAGCCTCAAAGGAGTAAGGGAAAATAAAAAAAGATAATGTGCATAAAAGCAGTTAGCACATCATCAATAGTACAGGATTATCTTTAACACAAAGACCCATCATCGTGTTCTCTCAGCCACTAGTCTCTGCTGTGGATCTTGTTTTAACCTGCGAAGTTCCTGGCGGTGGGCAAGCTGACGGTCCATCTGCCCCTTGCTGTGGAATACACCCCTGCGAACACAACCACTGGGCACAAACCCACCTTTCTCTGCTTTCTTGGTTTTCTCCTCATAGTCCTGCAGCCTGAGCATCAGCTCTTCCTTCTCCCGCATCATCTGCTCCTTCTCTCTCTCCACGGTTTCTCGCCTCTTCTTCTCAGTTTCCAGCTGCTGCCTGTTACAGGGTGAGGGACAACACAGCAATGTCCAGGTGCTGGCAGGCACTTGCCATGTCAACACACATCACCAGTGCCCAGTCCAGGCCCCAGGCCCATCCTCTGGATGGTACCGACTTAGGAGGCGGCAGCATCAACACTGAGCACACCCCTCCTGGGCTGATCCTTGGGACCCACGCGGTAACTTCCAAAGGCCATCACCCCCCCCGAAGCTC